AATTCTATATACAGTACCTAAACCTTCTCATTTTTTAGGAGTCCAGCCAGAACTAGAGAAAATACACCTGAAAGGTGCCTTATATGTGACACCACTTTCAGCAAGAAATTCACGTAAATCTGTCAATTCTGCCTGACCCAGGTCTAGCTCCATCAAGAGAAGACCATGTGAAGTCCAGCCGTAAGGGCAGATCAGGTGTTATTTGGCAGCCACAAGAGAACCCTCCCTTTCCTCCTCTCTAAGATTAGCCCCTTAACTCCAGCTCTCCAGCATTTCAACAGTCTAAGTCACGGCATGATCCCACCTCATGGGATCTAGCAGCCTGATTAATATGACCTCCCACAAAAACAGTGTGCCAATACTTCTCTGAGGAGTTTTTCATTCTTGTTGGTGGTGAATACAAAACAGAAAGGGAAATATATTACAAAGACCTTTTTTTTTTTTTTTTTCAGTGAGGGTGTTGCTGAATCCTTCTTCAGTTTAATGGTACAACCAGTCTTTAATGAGACGTGGTCCAAAGCTAGATGCTGTTAACTTAAGCCTTTACATAGAGTACCATCCCTCTTCCTAATTTTTTTCATGTGTTTCCAAAAGCCTCTATTCATGTATTTTCAAGAGCCTCTATTCATCCAGTGCAGCACTCCAGTCAGAAGAGCAGTGTTAACTCTCTGCAACTAATTTGCCCTGCTTTCCCCATACGATATGCTTTTGTGTGCAGGCATTAGAGATGGACCCCATGTCCTGCTGCATTTATAGAAAGGCAAAAACCTCCCTTGTCAGGCCTGTCACCTAAACATATCTGCTCTGCCCCTTATGATCTTTCATCTTTATGTTATGGCAACCTTCCATACCCAGTCTAACAGTCTTCTCAGCAGATCAGCAAGCTTAGTTTGTAAAGATACTCTTGTTCTACTTTGTTAGATTTATTTCATCCCTGCTGAGTAGCCCTCATTTCTGTGGTCCTAGAAGCCAAAGCCCCATCTTCAAGAGAAGCCACACAGTCCACTTCTACCCAATCCTTCCTCCTCTTGGGATTGGCAAGACAAGATCTCAGTTCCTTACCCATCACCTTCATCCCTAAAGCTCCGTAGTTCCTCTGTGTCAGGGTTACCTCCAGAGCAGTACTCTGGGTACCCACAAGGAAGAGAAAGAGGAAGAAGAGGTCCCTGTGAGGAAGATGGACAAATTTTGGCCGTGCATCTGCAACAATCCCAGATCCTGGCTCCTACCAAGCAGTAAAACTTCTGAGACATCAGGTGAGATCAGAAAATACGTGTCTTAATCATCCATAAGAAGAATCTCCAGTAATGTTCTGTGACTGGTACCCATTACTCCTGACTCATGGTACAGCACTGTTGCCAGAGTATAGTGTCACCCATTCAGGGAAGTGTAATTGCACATGAGATATTTGGGATGGCAAAATCTTCTGTGACTGTTTACTCAACTCCTTTCCAGATTTTCACTAACAGCTCATGCTAAGGCCTGATATAACTACAAATCTGTGGCCAGCCAAGGATTCATTCAACCAAGGATTCTTAAAAGAAGCTGTCTGTCCCCACAGTGTGAGACAGTGCTGGTCAACATTATCACTCATTTTCCCGTTTTTGTGTGAACACTAAATTCAGGCACAGCTGACTCTGATGGGTCTTGTTGATCCTCACCAGATCTTAGGATACTATATGTATTCTGAAATTGAACAATTGCAGGTGGAGCAGATCTGTGAATTTTTGTTGCCAGAAGCCACCAGCTTTCAGCCTTTTCTATCTCAATAATCTCTGTCCACTTGGTCTTCAGTTGTCACTCCTGCCTGACTTTGTGTAGCTTGGGTTTTCCACAAATACCATGTCAGTCTCCTCCTCATCTTCTCCTGCCATCTGGAATCTCAGGACCTCGACCACAGCACATCTCCCACAAGAGTGGCCACCACCGCCCTGACCTCTGGGAAGACACATGAGCTCTCTGAAGCATTCAGGGTGGATATAGGACTTCTTCCTAATAGAGTCAAAGACTCTGATGTGCTAATGGCAGTTCTGCAGACTTCTATATCTTAATGGAAGTCCATGTGCTGGACAGCATCTCCTGCAGCTTTTTCAGATTACCACTGTATAGTCTTCAAGCAGATCCACATAGTCTTAAGTGGAATTCCTAGTCCCCTTTGCACTTCTGCAGCACCAAGTGTTTTGTCTCATTTACCACACTCTGTGGGCTTCACTCTGGCTTCCTTGCTCTTGCCCTAACAGGTATGTTTTGGTGAGAATATGATCTTGCCCACATCAACATCTCCCTGACCACCCATCATCCAGCTTTTCAAGTGCTGTTGCTGCTGTACTGCCCTGCCACCCATATTCCTCTCATCATGGATCTCACTGGATTGAGCCCTGAACAACCTGATCTGGCTTTAAGTTAGCCCTCTTGTGAGCAGAAGTTTGAATGAGATCATCCCAGATTCCTTGCACTTGAAATTGCTCTGCATTTCTATGTCAAAGACCCTGATGAATATACACTGAAGTTCAACTGGTTTTATTTTAAGAGCAAACAATAACCAAGGTAAGGATCTGTTCCCCAGGAGGTGTAAAAATGCATACAGCATTGTTATGGCACACAGCTCTTGGTACAGGAAAAGAAAGAACCTCAGTTTTGCTCTTTGTAACCTTTGTGTAGGAATGACGACAATTAAAAGGCCTTAGACTTCATTTACATGTCTGTTTACAAGCTGTCAAAGTTACATGACCTGCACTGTAGATTCTATTCAGAGATCACCACCAAGTGAGCTAAGAAAGCCACTGGCTTCATTAACCTGTATCACTTTCCTGTTTTTCTTCCTGTGTGACAAAGTCAATCATACATGTTCTGTTCCCAGATTAGAAAGCAGCCTAAAATTCACTTGGTTTCAATGTCTGGCTGCTGAGCCTTCTCAACCACATCAACAGCAAGCAGGGATTTTTGTAATTCTATGACATTCTGAAGGAGAAAAAAAAATAAACAGAAGAAGATAAAAAAATCTTCTATCACTTCTGCCCTAACATGCACTAAAATCCTCATTGTCTGATGTGAAGGTCAACTTTCCAACTGTCCTGCTGAAGGAGTGCTTTCCGCAGGCTGCCCTTTAGTCCACACATACTGCCCCTGCCCCCTACCTCCCCAGAATACCCAGTACATAACATGAGAAGAAGCTAAGACATAAAATTCCCCACGTGCTGCTGAAGTATTATCCACAAGCTTCACTTAATCATACTTTCAATTCCTTCCCTAATAGGTTTGGAGTAATGTGTCAGTAGTCACAAACTTTTCTGAGACCTGAACCTGAATCTACATGACCTATAGCAGAGTTTTACAGAGCAGGGCACACACTACATGGCATGACTGACTTACCTTAGAACTTTTAAGAAAAGCTTAATGTAACTTTATCTAACCATACAGAAAGGAGTACAACTTAAAATTTCCACAATATTAACTTCCCAAAGTAAACAAAGCATTAAAAGCTTGTATGGAGAATTCATATATGCACTCCTGGGCTGCAGAAGGAGAGTGTCCATCTATTCATTTATTTATTTTAATGTCTTTAATTGCCAAGTTTGTGGGTCTTTTTTACCATCCAGGAACTAAATTAGCATGAGAAAACAAACATGACATTTGGTTTTATATACACACACACTCCCAGCCTGCAATCTCCCTGCTTTTTAAGCTCTGCCTCCTGTCCCTTACTTTTCCAGGTAGCAGAAGAAGATATTCTGATCGCCCTTTCCTAACTTCTTCAACTCTCCCCAGAATAGGATATATTGAACAGTCAAGCCTCACATCTTTGGCTCATATTCCCCTCTGCTCTTCTTCCCCTGCTGCTGGCACACTCATATACCTCTGCTGAACCTTTATGATGCTACTTTGCATCTGCAAAGCTCTCTCATCCGTGCACCCCACACAGAAAGAGACTTTTCCCTTAGTATCAGATACTGCTCATTTCAATATCTGCCTGCTGAAATACCAAAAATGGAATCAGGAGTGAGGCCTAGAACAATGTACACAATTTGAAGGAAGAATCCCTGTACAGATGAAGAAGTTATTCAAATTTATTAATGTAAGTGAAGAACAAAAAGGAAGGTTTAAGTCTGTATCAAAATTACCACTTGTTTTAAATGAGAGTAGAAGAGTAATAAAATAAAATCTTGCAAAAAGCTGACTTATTTTACAACTCAAAAGAGTTCTTTCCACTCGATATTTACGCTGATCATTTGTAGAGAACCAGTTTCTGAAAAGATTATACTTTCATTCACAGCTTTACAGGCAAAATTCAGGAGGATCACAAATTTTAAGCAGATGAACTAAACTGACAGAACTATTTGAGCTGATGGTAAACACTCCAATATTTCCTAAAATACTGGATAAAAGCTTGCCTAGCCTGGGCATCTAAAAGGACAACCAAGCTAATGTACAGTATGCTTTATAGCTCTCTTTTCACATACAAAGCTTAATACCAGTATTTTAAAATTAAAAAGAAAGAACATTGTAGCTCTGACAGACTTTGAACAAACAAGAAACAAAGATGGGACCACATGATAATTATTCCCAGATTTCCAGTGTTCTGGGATTCACATGGTGTAAATAAATGTATTTTAAGATGCCTTTGCTTTTTGGTGTTTCACAAAACATCTTAAAACTTTTTATTGTGGCCCCAATGTCATTATATCCTTTTTGATTTGGATACACCACTCTTCATGAACATTTCATTGTTCTAAGCATACACAAGAGCTCAGAATATTCCTGATGTGCTACTACATGCTAGTACAATTCCTAGAAGGAGCAATGAGAGTACCACACAAGAACACACAGTAGTGCAATACTCAGTTGTTGCATAGTCTTTTCTCCAATTCTGCTTTGCAATTGCCTTCAGGCTCACAGAGAAATTGGATTTGTGGATTGTAGAGGGAAGTGGTGAACATAACAACACTGCAATAGGACAAAGGACAGGTAGAAACAATCTGTCCATTAGACCAGTAACATACCGTTACTCCAGTTAAACCTGGGCCTTTTCCTTCAATTAGTTTATACATTTCTTGAAGTGCTTCCTCATCACTTTTGCCTTTAAATCGCTTCTTGGAGAGTTCTTGAAGAGCTTCCTTAAACTGCTCAAAAGTAATAGTTCTTACAGACTTTCCCCTGTTGAAACACACAGCAATTGAAAGAAATTACAAGGGAGCACAAAAGCATTTCAAGAATAGCAGAATGGTTTCAGTTTACCACAGAGAACAACAGAAAACTGCAACAGAACAGGAAGGCCCATGCAGCCCATTTATGATGTCAATAAAAAACATATCCCAGGAATATCACTTTATTTTTATATGTACATCAGTAGGATAGCACTTCACAGATTTCCCTTGATGAATGTTCAGAAATAAAGAGGAAATAAAGCAACTGGGTTTACTGTCAAAATGCCTGCAGCTCATCAAATTAAATACAGTCTCATTTGGTTGATCACTTATAATGCCTGCACATATAAGACAGGATCTGAAGCATCTTAGGTGAGTCTTTTTATTTACTATTTTTATTCCTCTTTGAATAACTTGTTATCATATTACTTATAAGTCACTATTCATGTGTTCACAAATAAATTAAGAATTATTCTGCTATTGTGTAAAGCAAACTACTGAAAAGCATTAAAATCTTGAAATTCCTCCTCGACTGAAGACTGACAAGTTTTTAAATAACACATTTAAATTCAATACCTGTTTTCTTTGTCGACCATCATCTTCAAAAAACATTTAAAGGTATGCAGAAAACACAATATAGTAGCCTGGTAAACTCATAATTTTGCTGTACAAGTGTGTGGTGCAAATTCTGATAATGGGAAATTCCCACTTTACAAACACCAGTTTATACTGTCATTCCTGCAGATCTTTTTTGGTCCATCACACCAAAGATTTCAGTTGATACAACTCTTACAAAGCATTCAATACAGTGATATGTTTACCCAAAAGGAGGTTAATGCATGTCTATTTTCTAGCATTTTACAATATTCAGTTTAGGCAGGAGATAATGTTGAAGAATATTCACTGCTCCACTCAATTCCCTAATATTAACCTAGTTTTAGTGCTCCTCATTTTAAAATTCAGATATGAAGCAACAGCATTAGTGAGTTTACCCACCATTAAACAAAAACCAACTATTTTTACGAATTACAGCAGAGACAAGCCACATCTTTTCCTGTATTAGTAAACTACAGATTCTCTGATCTTTAGAATAAGAATTTACACCCCAAAATTTAGCCATATATTTTGAACGAAAGTTTAGCAGATCAAATAGAACCATTTTCAAAAAGATGTTTTGATACTTATACTGATATAATCTTAAACAGTACCATCTTCAAAAGCAGAAAATGTTTACATTACAAAAATCTCTAAGTTAAAGTAATATTTGAGAGTCCATGTTGCTGGGAAACATACTACTACACAAGTTTTGTTTGCTGCTTGAGCATTTCTTTTTGCACCAATTTGGAGAACATTTCAAGCAAATCAGGGGAAAAAGTAACCAAGCACCACCACACAACCCAGACCAGTCCTTTCAACAGAGACAGCTGTTTATATGGGAATAAACAATAGATGCTAGGATAGAGAGAATGTGCACCAGCAACAGAAATCTTGGGCTAGAAAAACAGTACACAGCAATCTAATTTTAATTCAAGTGTCAAAAAGACCACTGTGAAGAGCAATTCATCTATAGGTCGTGGATTTATCTTTGATCTTCTTTTAGATACCTTCAGTGGTCAAATCCCTCTCAGCTGGGAATGCCTCCACTAACAAAAAGGGGAAATGAGATTTCTGGTTTAGCAACCAACAGTTAGAAAGTGACTCTTACTTCAATTAGCTAAACAAAAATGAAATTTTATCCCAGGCTTTTAAAACAAAGAGAAATCAGTTATTCACAACAAAATTCAACACTAAGGGAACCCTCTGAATAATTGTTCATTACTAGCATCCTTTATTTTCAATGCAGCCCAACATATGTATCAAATGTCAGCAACCCCCACAAAATAAACTTTATGTGTTTTTTTGACCAAACATTGCTGTTTGCAACTACTTGTCTGCTTTAGGTAAAGCATGTGCTGGAATATCTCAGAATTAGCTGGTAAAAGAACACCATGACAGTAGAAATAAAGAATATAATCCAGCATTTAATTAATCAGAAAGACAGGTGGAATAAACTGCAATTAACTACCTGGAATTTCTCCAGGATTCTCATTAATAGGTTTAACATCCGTCTTCTGATGAAACACGTCCAAGAACTTTTAAGTAGCACAAGAGGTCAAGACTTCATTTTGTTTTGCCTCTTATTTAGAAAAAGAAAGCACTATCAATCATTGCAAGGCTGCAGCATAACAACACCCTAAGGCCCTAAATTCTCTACAGACTCACTGCCAAGCCTAGCATTCAGGCCTTGTCAAAGGCAGTTTTCTGTAGCACATAGGTTTAGCTTCGATCATCAGTCAGGATCATTGCAGTGGGAAAGAGAATGATCACTTTCAGCAAAACCAGCAAAAATTCATATTGACTTGTTTATTTTTCACAGAATATTCTGAGCTGGAAGGGACCCACAAGGATCATCAAGTTCAACCCTGAAGTGGTCAAACCCACGACCTTGTCACTATTAGCACCACACTCTAAACAAATGAACTGATCTCAGGGTTTTATTTTAACACATGAAGAATTTCTGCTTGCCCACTTATTAAATAGAAAAGCATAACTTTTTTTTTTTTTGTATGAATTAAAAGGAAAAATACATAAATATGGCTGCCACGAGGAACAAAGAGCATTTGGTTTAAGACACAGGTATACCTACCTTTCATATTTCGTCTCTTCCCTGTCACTTACATGGGGCAAGGAAATGCGTGGATTTTTTCCCCTTCAGCTTAAGGTAAAATCACAAATTAGACACATATATATGACCAAGGTACTATTGCAGCCAAACCCCGAAAGAGAAACAAATGTGCATCATAGCTGATATTCTTTACCAGACAACAGCATTAATTGATGTTAAAAATAGGATTGGGAGTGAAGGAATTTTTGCAACTATATCCCAAGTTTCCTAACTAAAACAGCTTTAATTTTGAAATTTGTTATCTTTTTCTACACTCCAAAAATATCCCCTCTCACTCCCCCATCTACTACAAGATTATCAAATCCACTAGTAAAGCACCATAATTAACTCCAAAACTCTACAGCTACAACATATGTCAAGTCTTGTGGAAAACCCTAGGAACACAACATGTTCTTACACTTTTGGTATGTGAGGTATGGTACATGTATGCCATGTATTAGCATCTAAATTATCAAGCAGCAATCCTATACCCCTCCTCTCTCTAGAGACAGGTCTCGAAAAGCTCTGAGCAGTTGCTGTCATCATGATTACTAACTAGAACAGCATGCTCCCCTCGCCTCTGTCCGTACAGTCATGGGTTGAATGCATAGGAGACCACTGACTGAGTAGGTAGAAATGACAGGAAAAGTCTTTCAGCGAACCTTGATTTACACACTCTCTCCAATCCAGGTCCACAAAAACACCCTAGAGGTAATGAACTCATGAGTACTATTGGATGGAAAATTGGACATGAGCCAGCAACATGCACTCCCAGCCCAGAAAGCCAACAACTGTATCCTGGGCTGCACCAAAAGCAGCATGGGAGCAGGGTGTGGGAGGGGATTCTGCCCCTCTACTCTGCTGTGGTGAGAGCCCACTTGGAGCACTGCATCCAGCTCTGGGGTCCCCAGCACATGAAAGACATTGACCTGTTGGAGTGAGTCCAGAGCAGACCAGAGAGTCAATCAGAGAGAAGGAACAGTTCTGCCATGAAGACAAGTTGGGAGAGCTGGGGCTGTTCAGTCTGGTGGAGACATGGCTCCAGGAGACCTTACTGCAGCTTTTAGGGAGCATACAAGGAAGGACTGGGGGCAGGCTTTCTAGCAGAGCTGTTGTAATAGGACAAGGTAATGGCTGCAAACTAAAATAGGGTCGATTCAGACTAGATATAAGGAAGACATTTTTAGGAGGGTGGTGAAACACTGACAGCAAGAGGCTGTCCAGAGAAATGACACATGGCCCATCCCTGGTCAGGTTGGATGGGGCTATGAGCAACCTGGTCTCATGCAATGTGTCCCTGCTCACTGGGAGAAGGGCGAGGTGGTGGTGTTCACCTGGATGACATGTAAAACTCCAACTCAAACTGTATGAAAAATTATAATGCTATGAACACAGCATAACACACAAGGCTCTCATACCCCCAGTTTATTTTCACCATTTTTAATGTCCTGTTCACATTCAGGAAATCCCTTCCTTGTACCAGTTTTTCAGACCTCATGAACTTAAGAAAAAACCCCAACCCGTAACACCCCAAATAAACTAATTCCTTTTTATTAAGCAACTGCTATGAAGAATCAGCTTCTTTGTGTATATTTGTAACTTGTTTTTAGAAGCTCATTATAAATATCTCGTTTCCATGGGAATAACAAAACAAATATATTCACTTTCATTTTCCAAGTGTTACAAGTTCAAACAACTTGTCTACAATTAAGTATGCCAAGGGTGATCACTCAGCTCTTAACACTCATCTCTTAGGTTTAGCATTCCAGAGTTAGCATAGAAAGAGAAAAAACTGCATGTTGAAAAAAAAAATTAAAAATCAAGGCATCAGAATGAAAATTAAAACTGACCAGAAAGTAAGACAAAATGGAAAATAACAACAAAGAAGGGAAGGTAGGAGGGGAAAAAAGGTTTTTACAAAACTAGGTGTCATAAGGCTGGCCACTTCAATGAAAAGAATAAAATATATGAAGGACATTAATAACAAAATTTTTTAAAGCCCTATACTTCATTATGACACAAAGAAACCTTTATGTTTAGAAAGGATACATTCTTACATACCATTCTATTTTAAGCTCTGCTTCTTACAACAAACAGAATTACTGTAATGCATCATCCTTCAGTGGCGGAAACCGTGTTCATGGTACAATAATGACAGCCTCCTGTATCTATGCCTACATTTGGGAACAGAATGAACATACTCAGAAGAATTTTAGGAAGCTTCCCATCACTTCCCCTTCTTTGATAAGTCTCTCCACATGTGGCTACTACGTAATGGGAGATTCTGAACTGAAGGTCAAAATCCTCAGTTTGCTCTTGGGAGCCCAAGTTCACCTATATAAAAGCATCAGTTCTGTGTCTGGACATCAGCACAGTAAACAAAGTGCAAAGTATCAATCATTGGCCCAAAGTAGATTGGAACAGCAAGCAATGCAGCTTTCATTTGCAAATATTACTACTAACACTGCTCCAAGTTCTTAAATGTGAAAGTGTACTGCTGCAAATGGATACCATGGAGTTGAATAGTATTTGGATTAACAGTTGTCCACAATTTCAGCTGAAAAGCTACACAATTACACTCCATATACCCGATACATGAAATCCTTGACTGGTTTTAGATGTCTTCATCTCCAGAGCACTAAAACAGTTCAGTGTTAACAGAATAAAGTCTACAACTTAATAGGTCCTGCTGTGATCTTCAATCTACCAAAAGTCGTACCCAATTCCATCACAATAGGATACTTTTCTAACTTCTTACACTGAACATAGGAAAGAAAATGTAGAATAACTGAGAGAAGCTTCTATTTTTGTTAGTACGTCAGACAGGATTATGGCAGGATACAATAACCAGGACTGTTCTGCTGTGGAAATTTTCATCTATGGTCTAAGGAGTAT